GAAAACCACAGTTCTATATATAATAAATAATGTATATAATACATATTATAATAATCTAAGCAAAAATACTTGAATAATGTCTAGAAAACAAGAAAAAAAATGCATGTATCTTGACTCCAAATTCTCTTGAGTCTCAAGCAGACTGATTTGAGTTGCAGCTCAGCCACATGAGCCATCATAGAGTTGAAACTGGTACTGAAAGCTTGATGCTGCTCTACAACAACCAGAACACCCAGACTAATAAGTCGATGGAAAATTTGCATATAGGTTTCTTACACGTGTTGGTGGGAATCTAAACTGTTTCATCAAAACTAGAAGTTATAAGGCAGAACATCTAAGAAGCCACAGCATCTCTCACCCGGTTATTATACTCAGAGCTATGGGGAGAAGACGCATGCATTTAAGTATTCATACCAGCAAGCGTCCTACTAAACCCAAATTGGAATCAAAATTAGAAAATTAAGGGAATCATTCCCACGTAAGGTGGTCTTTCAGTGCAAACACACTAGAGAATTCTGCCAGGTTTGGGGAACTGTCAGGGAGCCAGTACAGCATTGGCGATTAATATAAAATCAGATCATGCATGCCTCATTTTATGATGTCAGTAGTACTGTGCTTAATGCCTTCCTGTATCTGTCTGTATCCTTGCCACATTAGCAGAATAAACCAGACTCAGAAAGACAAATAACACATTATGTCCCACATGTCAAATATACACATGTTCATAAACACACAGATGAGTGACATTGAAAAGGCAGGGGAATAATAAGTGTGTGTGTGGGAGAAGTCTGAGGACAGGAGGAAAGGGGGCTACAGAGGGTAAAAGGAGAAGAAAGAAAAGTGATCACATTTTCTTTCATATGATAATCTAGATCTAATTATGCACACTCACACACAAGCACATGTGACACTCTCATGAAAGCAGAAAGGAGACTATTTGTAGGAGAAGAGGAAAGGAAGGGGAGAAAAAGGACCAGGGTCACATTACAGGAGGGGCAGGAAGCAAGTACAGCAATGTCCATGTATGAAAACGTCACGGTGAATCCTGTTATTTTATATGATGAAGAAAAATTTAATTCAAGAGAACAGACAATGTTTTCTGTGGCCAAAAATATTTCCAAATTATTCACAAGTATTATTCTGTACATAAATATGGGTCATCAATAAAAGATTCACCTAAGAAGATGGCATAAGAAAAAAATGGTATGTGTGCTAATTTAGAGACAACTGTTCAAAAAGATTATCTATTCTTTAAGAAGGGGTGATGATTCTATGTCGAGAACGTAAGATTTTTTTATCATGAAAAATAGATGTATAGATCATACGTTTTTGTGACGTTTTATTTTGAACCAGTTTTGGAAGAGTTAATGACTTTGTAGTTCCCTTTCTTTCTATATTGGGTATGTACTTTCTCAAAATTTACTTTTTCTCACCAGTCAGTCAGATCTTTGATCACTATCACATTTTAATTTTCACATATGTATTTATAGATATATTTGTGTCTATAAACACTCAACCATTAAAAGTAAAATCTTTGCCAGGCATGGTGGCGCATGCCTTTAATCCCAGCACTTGGGAGACAGAGGCAAGCAGATCTTTGCGAGTTCGAGGCCAGCCTGGTCTACATAGTGAGTTCCAGGACAGCTTGGACTACAAGGAGATTCTGTCTCAAAAAAAGAAAAGTAAAATCTTTAAGAAATTATGAAAGTACATTTTATATAGCACTATTGAAGTTGGTAGGAACTAGATGAATGACCATAAGAGGGCTTTCACTATTCCTTATGCCCTTCAGTGGTCTAGATCATCACATGTCAGTGCTGGGATATGCAAATTGTAGTTATGCTGAAATTGTGACATTTGGTCCAGTGCTGGTACCTTGTCCTCAGTACAAGTGAAGAGTGTAGGAGGGAATGATGATTGTACTGCTGGAATTCTAATGAACTTCCCTTGCTTATAGAGACCTTTACAACAAAATGTATGTGGATGGGGCATAAGAAAGTGCTGTTACAAGCCAAGCATCTTTCCATAGAAGAAGTCCAAGTCTCAACGATTCTTCTCTCCCCAGAGACTGTCTTCAATGCAGTGGTGGGAAGTTGTCTCAGGAGGATAACTCCGGAAACACTGGCTGAATAAACAATAAATACAATTTCCTGAAGATAGTAAGAGCCAAGATGCTACAGGAGAGATTGTGCTAACCACAGGATCAAACTGCTGCCTGTCCTGGATGTTCATGGTTGAACTTTCCATCAAAACCACTCAGCCTGGGCAGCTGGATTACCTTTGTCTTGGAAGATGAAGTGTTCTTTCTCCTGTCATAGGAAAAGTAAAGGAAAGTTTATTTAAAAGCTGAGGAAGTCCAGAGCTGGTTCTCTTTGTAGGGATCAGAGGGTTTTTTTCATAGGTAACCTAACACTTACTGTTTGGTCATGGGAAGCTGATTAGCCTCTTCATTTGGCAGACAAAACCCCACATCTTGGTTTTTCAGAAATGTGAAGAGGATGAAGGAGTCTCATAGTGTTGGAAGATGTGAGTGCTTCATGGACTCAGGAGTGCACAGGAGACCAAGTGTGAGGGTGAGGAGGTGCACAGGTGGGTGAGGGTGCTGGCGATTTCCTTCCAGTAGATTCCCAATCTCCCACCACACAATTCTTTCCCCACCCAACAGGAAAGTTCTTAGAACCTGAAGGCAGTGCAGATTCTGGGGGTTCAGAGTTCTGTGGGTGCTACTTTTACTGCTTAGCCAGTAGACAAACACTAAACAAGGTCACCCCTGGGTGGGTCGGTGCCTTCTTTTCCTATAGTTCTAGAAGGGAGACTTGTTAATGGATCATGCAATTGCTTTTGGGAGGAAAATTTACAACAAGCAATTGAATGTTTTTATGGATACCAAAGAAAATAATGTACTTTTCTGACAAATAGACTGTCTCATAATTGAGTCTAGATACAGTTGCCTAGGATTTGGAGACTTGCTTTCTGGTTTGGCTATTTGTGGAGAAAATCATACATTTTCATTGGAGACATTTCTTTGGGCTGGGAGACGTATAGTCAAATCCTATGGCTGATCAATCAGACATTTATGCGTTCTAAAGTTAATGAATTAGAATTACATGTTTTCATAGCGACGTTTTTTAATCTTTGTAAGTTAATAGTTTGATACATGTTTATGGATTCTTTATAGTTTAAAAAAGGTTGAAGAGACTTTCTTAAGACTGAATTCAGGTGCCATCCATATCAAAGCCTGAGACTTGAGGTCATCACAAGGAGTAATAGATCACCTGTTGAGAACCATGTGCCTGATTCCACTAGCAAGCAATATTTGCAGGGAAGACCAAGGGTGAGAACAGAGAAGTTACCTAAGTGTTCATTCATTCTATTGCCTGTCACCTTCAGTGATGGACTGCTTCGTGAAAACATTAGTGACAACTGTTTAAACTTATAATAAATACTACTTCCAGGTCAAAACTCCCCCTCCCTCACATTCTTGACTACCCTGTATATTTTGCATTTGTGTGTATATCTAGTGTAGTCATCACAAAGCTCTCCATTACATTATCAGTTTAGCCTCAGTTCATCGCCTTTCCACAGAGTAGATGACCTGTGCATTACATTTTCAGCAGCTTGGCACATGGACCAGATGTGTTTTGTATGAACACAGTATCTATGTTGTATGCTTGCTGTTGTCATGTGCATTTTTCTTTATTCTTTTAAAATTTTTTTAATTTTTTAAACATTAAAAAAAATTTATTATTTTTATTTTATGCATATGCATGTATTGCCTGCATGTAGGTAAGTGCACCTGTGTTGTGCAATGCCCGTGGAGGTCAGAAGAGGCTGTTGGATCCCCTGGGACTGGAATTATGGACAGTTGTTAGCTGCCATGTGGGTGCTAGGAATCGAACCCAGGTCTTCTGTGAGAACAACCAGTGCTCTTAACCGCTGAGCCATCTCTCCAACCCCATTTTCCTTTTTTCTTACATCAGTTCGTCACTGTGCTTGTACCTACAGCTGTTTCCTGCCTTTCTCTATTAATCCTAGGACAGAAAGTCTCACTTTCCTTGGTTTGTTGTTTTTCTATTGGTTATGATATCTGATTTTCTTCTCACAGGAGTATAGTAAGAATTACCAGAAAGATGACTTACAAGGAACCATGTCAGGAACCAATTTTAGCAGCCCAGCAGGTTTCATCCTACTGGGCTTCTCTGACCAGCCCCAGCTGGAGGCGGCCCTTCTTGTGGTCATCTCTGTCATCTACATTGTGACTCTCACAGGGAACACAATGATCATACTCGTGTCATTCTTGAACCCCAAACTCCATACACCTATGTACTTCTTCCTCTCCAATCTCTCCTTCCTGGACCTCTGTTTCACAACGAGCATCGTTCCCCAGATGCTTTGGAATCTCAAGGGCCCAGAGAAGACAATCAGCTATGCTGGCTGTGTGGTCCAGCTGTTCATTTCTCTGGGACTGGGCTCCACAGAGTGTATCCTGCTGACAGTGATGGCCTATGACCGCTTCAATGCTATCTGCCGGCCCCTGCGCTATGGGGTCATCATGCATGCGAAGCTCCTCCGACAGCTGGCTGCCTTGGCCTGGATCAGTGGTTTTGGGGACTCCACAGTTCAGACCTCCCTGGTTTTCCAGTTGCCTCTGTGCAGTCACCACAGGATTGATGATTTTATGTGTGAGGAGCCAGCCATGATTAAAATTGCCTGTGGGGACACGACCTTCCTGGAAAATGAACTGTCTGTAGCTAGTGTCCTCTATGTGGTGATTCCCTTGGGACTTATTCTCATCTCCTATGCCTACATTCTTAGGAGTGTTCTAAGGATGAAATCCACAGAAGGCAGGAGGAAAGCCTTCAGTACCTGTGGATCACACCTCACGGTTCTGCTTTTGTTTTTTGGGACTATAGTTTCCGTCTACATTCAACCCAAGAGCAAGTACACACAGAATCATACAAAGTTCCTCACCCTTTTCTACACTGTAGTGACACCCTCACTTAACCCTTTGATCTACACCTTGAGAAACAAGGACATTAAGTGGGCAATAAAAAGATTGCTGACCAGAGACACAAACTAGGGAGAAATAAGGAACCTCACACACTGTCAGATTTGGGGGATTTTTAGAAGTTATAAATTAGGACTTAAATTTTTTTTTTCCATGTCCATAGCCGGAACTCCTAAATAATGGTAGGTGGGAAGGTTTCTTTAATGACATCCTGAAGTCTTTTTATTTCCTCTGTCCATGTCACACCATCTCCCTTCTCAGGTGCTTCTAAGACATTCTATGAAGATGTAAATATTGTTGTGTGTGCATTCATTCATATTTATAAATCACCATGAATGAGTGACTGACAGATGACCTGAATGGCAGATCAGAAATTCATTTTCTTGTCATAGAAGTCTATTTTTAACCTTATGGGGCACAGCTTAGATCAGCGCTAGGGAGCTGAAGAGTGCCTGAGGATGCTTTCCCCTAATGTTCTGGTTCCCTGTGTGGTAGTGACACAGTGAGTGTCTGTCCTGTCTACTCCACTGGAAATCCACCACTACCTAGCTGTCCGTCTTCTTTGGAGATGTTGCTTCTTGTGCTTTTCAGCAGCAGCTTCTGGGACTAGACAACTCAGGCATTTTCTGGTCACCCTCACCCATATTGAAGGTTGCAAGGAGAAGAGACTTGGGACAGATGGAGAGGAAGATGGTGAAATGGTGATACCTAACACTTTCATGCATTTCTGTGAGCCTAAAGTAGCAGCCGCCTCCTTTCCATCAGCTTTTTAATCAGAATGTGAGCTCTACAAGGAAATGTACATGTGCAAATTGAAACTCTGGCACTGATTATCAGTATGTAAATTTTACAATAAACAGAGATTTATAAATCTTACAATTTATGACTTTGTCAGTTTTGTAATATATTCCTTTTGTAATAATATAATGCACAGTTTTCTTCATGTAATATAAAAAGTGCATCTCTTCTAATAATATGATTATTTTGGTCAGCTTTTAAGTAATATATTTATAATTTTCTCCAAGTGTTTACAGTATTTTCTTCCAAAATTCTTTCCCTACCCTTAATGGCCATGCATATTTATTTGATGTTGTTTCTTAAATATTGATCTATAAAAGTGCTATTAACAGAGATTAACCCCCAAGTGCCACTTACTTGCAGCTGGAGAGATGGCTCAGTGGTTAAGACCACTGGCTGCTCTTGTGGAGGACCTGGGTTTGATTCTCAGCACCCACATGGCGGCTGACAACTGTTGATTACTTCAGTGCTAGGGGATCTTACACCCTCTTCTGACCTCCATGGGTATTGTACAACATGGGAGCACCTACCTACATGCAGGCAAAATACTCATACACATAAAATAAAAATAATAAAGTAAAGAAATAACTACCTCTAGATTAATATAAGAAGCAGCTGAGTGGATATTTAAAATTATCAGAGTGGATAAGAAAAACCTGACCTACGCAGAAGACATTGCTTGATGTGTCAGTTTACGCACTGCATCTAACAAAGGTTGTTCTTTTTGCTGTCATGTAATTTGATTGATGTTAATATATTTAAAATTTTATTTATTTTTGATGTATACGAGTGTATTGCCTGAATATATGTAAGTACCCCCATGTTATACAATGCATGAACAGATCAGAAGAGGCATCAGATCCCATGGAACTGGAATTATAACTGGTTCTTAGCCACCATATGGGTGCTGGAAATTGAACCCAGGTCCTCTGCAAGAGCAGCCAGTGCTCTTAAGGGCTGAGTCATCTCTCCAGCCCAGGACAAGTTTTTTTAAGAGTCCCTGCTTTGTAGCTTGGGTTGGTCTGGAACTCACTATGTGCGCTGAACTGGTGATCCCCTTGCCTCAGCCTCCCAAGTGCTGTGGATTACAAGTATGTACTATTACTTCAAACCGAAATTTTACTTTTAATTCTTTTGCTTCTTTTGAACTTCCCTGAAATCTTAGAAAAAAATCTCTCCAGGTATTTTGTTTATCACGGCAGTGGTAGTGTTAGTTTTGTTGTTTTGTCTCTGGTTCTTTTCTTTTCTTTTTTTCTTTTTGAGACAGGGTCTCCCTGTAGCCCCAGCTGTCCTGGAACTCACTGTGTAGACCAGGCTGGCCTCGCACTCACAAAGTTCTGCCTGCCTCTGCCTCCCAAGTGCTGGGATTAAAGGCGTGAGCCACCACACCCAACATCTGGTTCTTTTTTAATAAAATGCTTTTATTGAATTTTTGTGCATTTCATACATGAAATTATCTTTATACCTGATTCCCCTACCCCCTTTGACACCCTTCCATAGCCCCCACCCCCACTGGAATCCATATATCCTGTCATTTGTGTCAAGGCCTATTGTGTAAAGTTAGTGTCCCCAGATGTCCCTCAGTGCAAGTTCATCCACCTGGGTTTAGTCAGTCCATGTAATGTCTCTCCTTTCAAGAAGATCAGCTCTTCCTCACCTAGCAGTAATCAGCTGCCAATAATCCTCCAACTAAGATTGGGGCTTTCTGTTCATTTCTACAGTTCTGTGTGGGGTTTTTATCTGCCTAAGTTTGCATTGGTCTTGGGCACGCTGACACCATTGCTGTAGGTCTGTGTGAGAAGGGTTCCAGGCACCTGTAGGACTATTTCCATATGGCCATGCAGCTCCTCCCTGGTTCTTACAATCTTTAGGACCCCTCTTCCACAATGGTCCCTGAGCCCTGGGTGGATGGACCTCAATATAGGAGTCCTGTTCAAGGACCCACACTCTGCCAACTCTTATTCCCTGTGATTTGACCATTTGAGGTCGTTTGTGTTCCTGGCCCTCTGTTGCATGAGGGGGCTTCATTGATGAGAACTCAAAGATGCATTAGTGTTCTCTTCATTCATTGTTCTATGTTCTGAGAGTCTTAGTTGTAGAGGTTGCATCTTAGATGTGCCATTTAGGCTTCTGGAATTAACAGAGAATCTCTGTATGTGACCAGTGGTATAACTCTGTAACAATCTCTGTCGAGAAAGAAGCTACTTTGATTGTTGGTGAATGGGATACTTGTTTATAAGGATTTAGTGCTAGGATCTACAAATGAGGGAGAACATACCTCTTTTGTTTATCTGAGTCTGTGTTACTTCACATAGTCTAACGGTTACTAGAACCATTCATTTACCTGCAAATTTTATTATTTTGTCTTTCTTTACAGCTGAGTAGAACTCCATTGTGTAAATGTACCACATTTTCATTAATCACTTGTCAGTTGAGGGGCACTTAGGTTGCTTCCATCTCTTAGCTATTGTGAAAACAGCAGGAATAAACATGGATGTACAACTGTCTCTGTAATAGGATGAGTCCTTTTGGCATATGCCAAGGAGTGGTATAACTGGGCCATACGTTAGGTTAATTTTTAGTTTTTTAAGAGTTCTCTCCACTGCTTTCCATAGGGGTTGCACGAGTTTGCAATCCCACCAGCGGTGAATGAGCATTTCCCTTTCTCCACATCCTTGTCAGTATTTGGTATCATTTATTCTTTTGATCTTAGACAGTCTGACTGGGGTAAGGGGACACTTTAAGGTGGTTTTAATGTGCATTTCTCTAATCACTAATGATGTTGAACACTTTTTCTTAGCCATCTTTATTTCTTCTTTTGAGAACTCTCTGTTTTAGATCTTTAACCCATCTTTTAATTGGGTCATTTGTTTTCTTGATTCTTTGTCTTTGGAGTTCTTTATATATTCCATGGGGTGTTGAATAGAAAGTGTATTCTTTGGTGCCTGGGTGAAATATTTGGTAGATGTCTATTAGGTACAGTTGATGTATGGTATCATTTAATTCAGATGTCTCTCTGTTTATTCTTTGGTTGATCTTTCTAATAGATATGGTGAGATATTGCAGTCCCCTACTATTACAGAGTTGAGAATAATATGTGTCTTAAAGTTCTGTAGTGTTGTTTTTATGAATTTGGGTGTAGCAGCAATTGGTGCATATATGTTCATGATTATAATATCTTCTTGGTTAATTGTTCCTTTGATCAGAATGACCCTCTTTATCTCTCCTGATTAGTTTTAGTTTGAAGTCTATTTTTTGAGATATTAGAATTGCAACCCCTGCTTTTTTCTTAGTGCCCTTTGTTTAAAATATTCTTTTTCATCCTTTCACCTTAAGGTAGTGCCTGTCCTTAAAGGTGAGATGGGTTTCTTGCAGACAACAAAAAGATGGACTTTGTTTCTTAATACATTCAACTAAACTGTGTCTTTTGACTGGGGAGTTCAGTCCATTGATATTTAAAGTTATTATTGAAAGATATGTATTGATTGTCATCATTTTGATTACTGTTTACATTCTTTGTCTAGTTTTGTGTTTCCACAATTATATCTTCATTTAGTTTTTTCTGTTGTCCATGGTGTATAGTTGTTCCTTTCTCCATTCTTTGTATTGCTTCAAGTATTCTTTGAAGAGCTGGTTTTGTGGACATGTTTTCTTTCAACCTATTCATGTTGCAGAATATTTTTTCTTTCCCCGTCAACTATAATAGACATCGTTCCTGGGTAAAATATTCTGGGTTGGCATCTATGGTCATGTAGAACTGTGAATACTTTCTTCCAGGCTCTTCTAGCTTTCATAGTTTGCATTTGTAAGTCAGCTGTAATTGTGATGGACTTTCCTTTATACATAACTTGTTTTTCTTTTGCAGCTTTTAGTATTCTCTTTTTGTTCTGTACATTTAGTGTTTTTACTGTGATTTGTAATGGGGACTTTCTTTTGTGGTCCTGTCTATTTGGTGTTCCATGTGCTTCTTGTATTTGTATGGGGATATCTTTCCTAAATTTTGGGAAATTTTGTTCTAAAATCCTGTTTAAGATCTGGTCAACACCATTAACCTGAAATTCTTCTTCCTTTATGTCTATGATAGGTAGATTTGGTCTTTTCATGGTGCCCTACATCTCTTGCATATTCCATTCCTGTGCTTTTTAAAATTTTTCATCATCTTTGCTTGAGTGGTCCAATTCTTCAACTTTATCCTCCAATGCTGATATTCTGTTTTCCATTTCATTCATTCTAATGTTGAAGCTTTCTCCTGTTGTTTCAAATTGGCTTGTTGAGTTTCTTACTTCCTGCTTCATTTCAGCCTAAGTTTTCTTCAATGTTCCTATCTCTTTTGTGAATTTAGTCAGAAGTTTATCCCTATCTTCTTTTAGTTATTTGACTTGTTTGTGTATTCTTTAAGTTTGTTGAATTCCTTTGTAATATTTATGATTTTTCTTTTACCCTGTGCCTTGGGTTATCTCTAGGGGATTCTCCTTGTAGCTATTCTACAGGGATGGTGAAGTTTGGTGGGAGCCTGCTGTTTTGGTTTTCCATATTATTTTTCTGTTGTGATTTTGGCATGTGGATTTCTTTTGTTGTTTGTGGTTCTGGTTCTGGTATGAAACTCAAGCCTTCTCTTTTTTGCATTGACGTTTGCATCTGTTTGTGTTATTGGTGTAGCTGGTTGGTCTAGGTTTCAGGTTCTTTCAGGTTTAATTTGGAGGGAACTGATGACTTCAGATCAGGTACTCAGGAGCTCCCACAAAAACCCAAGTCAGGCTCCAGAGAGGTATATGCATACTTCCTTCTAACATTTGGACCCACACTAGTTGGTATTCAACAGCACAATTTGGAATGTTTGCTAAGGGGAGGGCCATTTTGGCACTGCTAAGCCTCTGCCCCTACTGTAGGGCAGAGAGGTCTAATTCTGTGGATGTGGGTGGGACCTCATGCAATTCCAGTTAGGAGTTGGGTATGGCACAATTTTGGGAAGGTTACCACCATGTGGAGGCTGGATCCTGGCACTTTCAGGCAGTCTACTGAGGTCTCAGCCCCTACACCAGGTGGAGGCCAAATCAAGCACTCTCAGGCCGTCTGCT